GGGGGTCGATCGCCCCCCCTTATACGTCCTCGTCCTCGTCCTCTCGTCGACGGCTAGGGGGGGTCGATCGCCCCCCCTTATACCGCGCCTGAAAGGAATTACCACACACACACACGCGCGCGTGCACACACACACACACAGCCGCTGACCAGGCTTGGACGGCTTGGACACATTCATTTTCGCCTCACGCCTCTCCCGCCGCTCCGGGCAGCAGAAATAATTAACCGTGTCCCGGTCGCTCCGCGGGTCGCTCTCCTCGCCTCCCGGTGAGCGCGCCGGCCGCCGGCTCGGCCGGTCACCGGTTTCGTTTGAAAACTTTCGCGGACGGACAAAGCTCCCTGAGTAGTAACTAAACTGGAGTGAGTACGGGGAGGCTGCTGCTGCTGCTCGGCGGGCGGCCGCGCGCGCTTTCTCCAGTCATCACCTGATCGATTCTTGAGATGAGCTGCTGCTCTTGGTGGACCACGCACGGCCACGGCCGTATTGCCGCACAAGGTGAATAAAAAGGGATTCAGGTGCATCGTCGTTGTAGGGTTCAGAGTGGTTCAGCTGAGGGTCCAGCGCCGTTTCGATACAGATATATCTCCTACGACAGAAAAATGTTGACACACAGTAATTTATTAAGGGCGTTTTCATACAGTAGATAGCACGGCCTTCGTCGAGGTCTTTGCACATTTTCACGAGTACGAGATAGCATTAAGTCTCCAAAATAAAGGCGAATTATAGCGAAATAGACCCGAAAGAGACGCGAAATAGTTGGGAAATAGTCGCGAAATAACCCGAAATAATGTGATATAGCCGAGAAATAACCGAAATGGCAGAGGAGAAACACCACGAAACGGCCCGTACGATCCGAACCCAAGTGATTTCCCCCTCGCATTAGGTCGTTTCGTGTGCTCCTACCATGAAAACTTCCATCGCAGTTTCCAAAACAAAAGTCGATACCCCCCTGAAAGAAACCAATTAAATACAATGGAAAAGGGGAGGGCGGGGTTGGGAGAAAACCAGTAAGCCGAGAGCGACAACGCCGCCGGTGTCCATTGCGAAACGTGTGGGCCCGCCTCTGTGGAAGCGCCTCCGACCGACCACTTTGTTGTCTTTTCTGGGGCGTGGCGTGGCGGGTCCTGGAGGAAGCCCGACGGGAAAAGGGGGAGGGGAACCAACTTTTTCGTCGCCAGGATGGGCAGCTTGCCTGGGGGCCGGCGGGGCGGGCTGGCAAATGACACGACAAACACGACCCGCGCGCTCGACACAAGGTAAACGCAAATCGACTCCACGCTGTATTTTATTGCGCTTGCCTTCCCCATACCGTCAGATCCTCGGTCCGGTCGCCCTTGGCCCGCCCCAGCCCGCCCCAGCCCGCCCCGCCAACCCCAGCCGCCCCAGCCCGCTCCGGGCGCCGCCGCCGTAGCTGTAGACCTGACGCAACGGTCACGCGCGCGTCTTCCCTGCTGAGACTGTTTCCGCCAAATCATAACAAGGCGACACAAAGCGAAGAGACATCGAAAAATTTAACAAAAATAAATTGTTTTCCTTCGACATGATCTTTTACAGCGGATAGTGCCAGCCGAGGGACTGGCGCTTCCTGACGTTGAACGTCAGAGACATGCCTCTCATAAGTCCAAGACTCGGTCCAAGACCTCTTGCTGGCCTGCGGTGGGTGCAGCGAGGAGAAGTATTGAGAAGTATTCTTTTTAGCCAGCTCTTCTGCTTTCAGAAAAGGCTCTCTGTTCTTCGGAATTATGCAGCCTTACGGCCTAGGTGTCGGAGCTTCTTTTGTTTGGGCGTCCGTTTGTTTTGCTGCAAATTGTATGTGCCAACCCCAATACTACTACTGCTCTGGACTTGACTATTACAGCTATTCCGCCGGATTTTGCAACTCCTGAAAAAGGTAAACAACACTCATAAAAATTTCAATGATTGCATCTCACGGTAAATATAAAGTTTATTGTATTTTAAGACTTGGTCTTGGATCTCATTGGGAACGAAAATGGCATCCAAGACCAAGAGTCTTCAAATGCAAGAAACTTTTTGTTTTACCGTGATGTGTCCGAGGTTGGACCAGAAATGACAAATCCCCAAACTCCGACATCATATGCGCTCTTTTGAGCTGGAAACACGGGGGTGTAGAGTGTTGTACATGTACACTGATACTCCCATTCTGATATCGCTTGAATTAGCGAGCTCCGCGAAGCGCCTTGCAAAATTAACAGCAAGCAACAGTATAATTGCCATCCGACACGCTCGCGTCACTAGGACGCGTGTCATGTGGGGCTTTAGGAGGACGACGTCAGCTGTGCTATGGCCGCGACAAGTGACCGTGGTTAAAGTGATTCGGATAAGGGCGGGCGGGCCCTGCGGCGAGGACAGCCGTCCGTCTGCACCCGCTATCTTTGCCATTTCTATTTTATTTGGACGGAGCTCTCCCCCCCCCCCTCGCCATCGCGTCCTTGCCCGTTGCCAGTGTACCCGACCTGCTGCGGCCGGCTGACAGCCAGAGTTACCGCTCAGCTCCCCGCATGCAGAAGTAGTAGTCCCGCCTGCTAACCTCCGCCCCCCCCCCCCCTTTCCGCTCCTCTGCCGTTCTGCGTCCAATAATTCGCACACGGCCGGTTGCTTCATCAGCCTGACTTTTGAACCAGTGAGCAACAACAGTACAACGCATCATCCCAACAGCTATTATCCCTATCGCGGCGATTGATTCACCCGGCAGGTGAAACCTCTGCCGCGCCCAATGACACGCGAACGTGCCGCGGGACAACTGGGGCACCGCGACGGACCCGCGGTGACGGGGCCGTTAAAGGAAAAGGAGATAAAGGAACTGCGCCGCAAACTCGCGCGGCTCCACTGCCGGCAAAACGAGTGTTCGTGTTCTCTGCTTGGCGCATGAATTCGAGTGGTGGTGGTAAACGGCCTAGACCAGCATTATTGCAAAATGTTAATACTGAAAACCAGAGTTCCTGTAATATTTAAGGCATTTGCCATTGGCTTGCCGCCCCATTTACTGGCATAAAAATGCATTAAACTTTTCTTGCCGTAAGTGATTTTCACATTCCGAAATAAGTTGCACAGCACAAATCATGTGATATGTGTAATGTGTATCTCTCCCCGACTTACCGAATTACCGACTTACGCATAGCAGCCAATGTGAAAACTATTCATTCGTTTTGTCTGAGTGGGCTCGTCTCCATTCATCCATTCATCCGCCCGCTGTGGGCTGTGGGCGCCACCGGC